CTGTCCTGATGGTAAAACTTGGGTATCGCTTCGGATTAACGACCAATAAAAGAGGTTCTTTCGCAGAAACATGGGTTGTGTTCTACTTGCGTTTTTGAGTGCAGAATGCATGTCTCACCTCCCGGGTGATTGCTCTCTGGTATTTGTTTTAAAACGCCTGGTGTGCGCCTCTTCCCCTTGCCGATTGCTCTCCAAAACCCTTCCTCRCTACTCCCATCCTGTTCGATCTGTATGAACCCTGATAGATGCATGATAACCTGTTCACAATACTCTCGACTACCGATACTTGAATGGAAATGCTCATGGAATTTTCCAATCACTATATTTCTCTATTTCTGTCTTCCTTTTCTCTCTTCTTCTTCTTCGTCCCTCCTTTTTCTCTTTTTTTCCCCCTTTTTTTTCTTACTTTTTTTCTTACTTTTTTTCTTTTCTTCTTTTTTTCTTTTCGCTCTCATCACAAAAGAAGCCGACTACGAGCAGATGCAGCATCTGGGCAACGTGTCTACGCCTGCCTCATGCTACCCTTCTTCGTTCTCGAGCTGCAATCCATATCAGCTTTCCCAACCACCATCGCTTGCAAAAGCAATCTAAACCGCAGATAGCGATGGAACGCAGCTAGACGCGCTAGTCCCGTCCACAGACGAGATACGCATAGCTACTATCCCTCACTACGCGGTTCTAGACTCAGATGTCTGTGGATATGCATATATATACCCTACCCTCAGTAATTCGATGCTCTATTCACCAATTATCGTTTATGTCTTTCTCCCCTTTGCAGGTTGAATCACGAATATGATCCAACCCAAGCACGGCTTAAACGTGTGATAGACACATTGGGGACAGACGCTGTCAGATTTTCCATCCTTTAGAAATCCTATCCACTACGTAAACCGGTCTTGACCCTGTTCCCCCCTTATGGAATTCTCCCAGCCACGTCAGTTTTTTTTCTTTTCTTCTTTTCTTCTTTTTTTCTTTTTTTCTTTTTTTTCTTTTTTTCTTTTTTTCTAGGAGCCGTCCACGGACAGGCGCAGCATCAGGGCAACGCGATCGCGTTACCTCATGCTACCCATGCTGGTTCTCAAGCTTCGTCCCATACTTACCCTCCCATCCTTCATCACTCATAGACCTTCTCAAGCAAAGCAACCCAGGCCAAGGATAACGACGGAACGGAGACGAGTGCATCAACCCCGTCTACAGACGAAATGCATGAAGCTCCTATCCCCTAATGCATATCACGTGGCAGGGATACGTACTTAGATATACATGTATTTATGTATAAGGACACACACGTACATGCCCTGCGCCCTACCCTCGGTAACGCAATACTCGAATTAATCGCATGTATGACCCGAGCCTGTGATGGACGCATCAGAGACAACTACGGTCGGATTTTCCGTCCATTTGAACTCGATCCACCACGTCAACCTTTGTGCCGATCTTCTGTTTCCTTTTTTCTCCCCCTTTTTTTTCGATCTTTCGTCTCGTTATCTTTTTTCCATTCCCCTTTTTTTCCCCTTTTTTTCTCTCTTTCCTTTTTTTCTTTTTTTCTTTTCTGCTGTCTCACTCATATGTGGAAACATCCCCATTTCCCGCAGAGATTGCCTCTTGGTCGTTAATTGCTTGCGGTATGCTGGACAGGTTCACCATGACAATCCCAGGAATTTCCTCAGTAATCGGAGAAGGAAGGGCGTGAGTAAATCCTGTGTTCGTCTGACAAGTATTACGGGGATGCGCCGAAGCATTATTTCGGGGCTTGATCGTGGTATGAGTATCATACCACACTTCGACATGATACTTTTTCACATGACGAAACGAAAACACACAACTACGTGGGGGAATCCCCCCGTCAGCGCCGTTGGTGGTGTGTCCCACCAACCGTATCCCTGTTGCGTGTATTTTCAGGCGAGGAAAGCATGGGTGACTGCCTGTGAAATCGAACTCCGCACAGATAAGGATATTAAGGATAATGTCAGTGAATCCAGCGTACACGCGAATAAGCTTTGAGATGAAGATTAAATACCCTCGGTTTATCAAAAACACCCCTCTCCCTTCTTGCGTGCGCTATAGTCCTGTTGCTTGTCTGTCATTTTGCAGGTACAGCCGACGGAACTCTTTCCTGGTGGCTGGTGGGACGAGATCACGGGCAAACATACCTGGCTCAAGGACCAGGCCTGGCCCGGCAAGCCGGCGCAAGCACTAATCGCCGCCATGAAACCGGAGATCCTGGAAGCAATGAAAAAGATGGTCGAGACCGGACGATTTCCTAATTTCTTCGGCATGATCGGCTTCAACGAACTTGCGAAACTTGCCTCAGCCTGGGACGAAAGCAAGGACGCCTTCGATGCGAAACTTTTGGGTTTAGCAAGGGAACTTGAGAACAGGAAAATAGAATACGGTCGGGAGTGCGTCGAGTTGCCCACCAGGATCGCCAAGGTCGAGCAACTATTTTTGAAAATCTGGGGGTTAGATCACTCGCACCTCCAGGGGCAAACGTGTGAAAAACCGCACGCGGACTGCACTATTACTGATGCCATGGCAATGGACGACGATGGCCGAAATGAAAGCCGCCATCGCTGCCATCACCACCAGTAACAGTTGTAGCCCGCCGGCGACCGTGTCCTCCCAAGGGGCGCAGTACACCGCCTTTGCACCCCTCCCCTCCCCACACTGGACAGAGCACACGAGGAGCGGTTTCAGGCATGCGCTATGGAAGCTGGAGACATTTAACTATCTTACCCCGTTCTCATTGAACGCTCTCGTATTCCTTGCTAACCTAACGAAGGAGGAGGTGGCCAAATGCAAAGCCAACGCAATGACCGGCGATCTACCCTACTGCCCGCCAGGTAAGAAATCGTTTAAGCCAACCCTCCTGAAATTTCCCGTCCTTTCGCTGCTCGATCCATCGAAGTGTGAATTCACCACTCCTGCCATGTGGCAGAAGAAAATCAGATCCGCTCCGGAGGTTGATCTCAAGAGACTACGGAAGTGCTGGAATGTCAGGCGACCTTACCTCAGATGTCAATGTGTCTCACAGAGAAAGAAGGATTGCGGCAACGGGCCCATATGGGTTGATCACGCCATATGGTACCTCCTCGCTCACCCCGATGTCTTGTTTCCTAACATCGCCTCAGTGAAAGTGAAAATCTCCATGTTCATTCACTTTCTCAGGGTGTCATGGAAAGAAGCCATTGAGGCTTGCGTTACCTTCATGTTTATCAGGGAAGCTATGACCGATGTCATCTCCGCTATCGAGCGCGGTCCTTCCCTCACAGCCGAAACAGCGATCGACAGGACCAAGTGGAAGTACAACACTCCACTCACTATCGGCAGGGTTCTTCTGCCCACTCGGGTGACTGGCAACCCCAGGGTCAGAGCCAGGGGCTCGCCCGGAGACCAGGCAAACAAGAGGCAACGCGGTAACCCACCGCTCGTCCTTTCGTCCAGGCAGCTAGTACTTCCCTTCGCACCCGACCCCAGGCAACAGATGCCTCAAGCCATGGATCCCCTGTCACAACCCCCCTTGCAGAGAGCTGCTGCTCAGAGAAGAGCAATGCAGGATCCCCCACCGCAACTCCAGCAGCGAGGCATCCGGATCAGGGAAGCGGCCACGCACGATGGCAGTGCCAAACTCAACCAGGGGCTAATTAGATCGCACGGAGTTAACATGCAAGGCACTGGGAGTGGGAAACAACTACCTTCCCAAGGTAGTTCTGCGGTAACAACCAGCGCATCAGCCAGCGCCAGGGGGAAGAAGAAAGCAGGCACCAGCAACAAGAAAGAGAAAAGAGGATCTATCCAATCCCCATGAGGCCCAACCATGCGCGCCTGCCTTGAAAATGGTTCACCCAGGCCGTCACACATCGGATCTTAATCTTACCTTTTTTCTTTCGTTCTCTTTCCTTTTTTTCCTTTTTCTACCTTTTTTTCCTTTTTCTATTTTTCTTTCTTTTTTTCTTTTTTCCCTTTCCCCTTTTTTCCCATCCGGAGGTAAGATCTCCTTGAACGCTCCCCCACTTGGGTTACTAGCCGATTTACGAGCCTGTTGAATTCTTCGATGGAGTTTTGTTCACTGCGCAGGATGAGGGCTTTGAGCAGGAGGAAGGTGGCCAGATGATCCAACTACCCTCTGGGAGACTCGCATGGAGAAAAGGGAAAAAGGAGAGAAGGGAATTCGTGCACATCAGGTATACGAGCAGACTCATGGAAGTCGTGCCGCTGAGGCGGTTCGTGATCGAGGGTTTGGGGCAGGTTATGGGAGAGAACTCCAAGAATTGGCTGGACGAAGTGGTCATCGGGTGGAAGTATGACGAGCCGATCGCCGCCAAGATATGCAAACCGGGTAGAGTCTTCCGAAAGTTCAAGATCGCGGAATGGGAGGCCAGCTACAATCCGGATAGCTGCACGTGCGGGGCAGGCAGGCATGCAGTTTTTTGAATCCTGCCGCAATCAGGTTACTTCCGACCGAAAGAGTGATGCACGTCATAACCACGGACACTGGAGTCACGAACAACGGGCAACTGCAACTCATGTTGAACGTTGGACTTAACCACATACCTATGAGGGCATTGGATGAAGAGTTCGCCCTGGGAGAGATTGAAGAGGCGCTCAACCACATTCTGACTACAAGAGTCTGCGACGAAGAACTCTCGATGGAGGAGGAGAAGGCAGTGAAGAACTACGTGATGGAGAAAGCAAGGACTGCCATCAGGCAGTATCATGCGCAACACAGGCACATCAAGGAGGAACCCATCAATAGCATGCCTGTCAGGAAGGAGATTGATTGGCTAACTGGAAGATTCCTCGTCTGCCCGACAGATAAGGCGCCGCATACTTCGATGTTCGTGTGTATCAACTTCATACAGAGGTTGGCACTGGAGAGGCTATCCGGCCCGGACTTCGTTCCACTCCAGCAATCACCCGCAACGCTTGGCAGCCAACTCGCTGAGCAGGCCAGTGCATTCACACCAGTTAGGAATGAGGAAGAACCCCTACCCCTGCCACATCTCATGGTCGTGTACAAGGCGCATAAGGAGACGTTCAGGTGGATCACCAACACGGCAGGATCAATACTCTCACCCGCTGCGGACATTTGCGCATGCCTCCTAAAGTTCCTTGCGGTCGATGTACAAGCACTCTGCGAGGAGAAGAGCGACGAGGTCTTCTCCATGTACAAGGTCAGACTCAACTATTGGTGGCCGCTCACATCAATCGGCAAACTCATCGCCAACCTCCCTCGGCATGTGTACTCCGTCTTCACGGCGGACATTACCAGGTGCTTCGAGAAGATCCCGACGGACAACTCGGATGACGGACTAATCGTTGCAATCAAGTTCTTTGTCGGATGCGCGATGGAGCGGAGAAGAGCCAAAACTGCGAGGGACGTGATTGCGATCACGGTCTCTGCCCGCGGTTCGCTACATCCATGCTGGGTCGACGGGCAGCAGGAGAGGCAGTTCGACGAACTGTACTTGGACGAGAATGAGACCATCAACGCTTGCGAATGGCTAGTGTCCAATGCGGTGGTGCAGATGGGGAACAGGGCTTGGAGGCAGATTCTTGGCATCCCCATGGGGCTGTCATGTTCTCCCATCCTCTGTGACGTTTATTTCTTTAAATACGAATTTCAATTGATTGCACACCTTGTAGACAATCAGGAATGGCAGGCGCTCAAATGCTTTGAGGAAACCTACAGGTATATCGATGACCTCTGTTCATTGAACAACATGGTCATCGCGGACTTCCTCAAAGACRGAGTGCCTGGCCAATGTCCTGAAAGAAAAATCTACCCGCACGAATGCATCGAAATAAAGGAAACCACTACTGTCAAGGAAGATAATCACGGATTGGTCGCGAACTTCCTGAACCTCACCATCTCGGTCATATCATCCTCCGATGGCACTTTCGCCACTTCCAAACACAACAAGAAGAGAGGACTCAATTTCAACCCAGTGAAATTCATGAAATTTAAGTCCAACCGAAGCATCACACAGTCGCTGCAAATCCTGACCGCACAAACCGTACTTGTCCTTTTACTATGCTCAGACGAACAGGAAGCCGCGTATGAAATCCATTCTTTAGTCCAGGATATGGTTGCTAACGGGTTTGGCAGGAAGGAATGCTGGAAAATCAACCCGCACGCCCCAGCTGTGATATGGTAAGGACGATCTTGATTGTGCGATTCCATATGTGCTAACTGTGTTGTATGTATGTGTAGTGGTGACCGGGGGGCCAGGGCCGGAAGGCCTGACGCCCCGTGGCATCAAATCTTATGTTCCCTGGCCCGTTTAACCGATGGGACAGCGGGCGGGACACACACACACACACACACACACACACATACAGGGATCAACGGAGCGGTTGGATGTGCGAGAGAAGACAACTTGTGGAAAGAAGAATACGCGAAGCCGGAAAAATAAGTATATAATCCCTTGTGCCCTGTAAATAGCTGAAGAGCGCAATCACTTACATTCCGAGAAACACATGAAGAGTAACCTCCCGTTGCTCGCCCACGATTATGGGACTCTGGCATCATTACCCAATGCTCTGAACCGAGAGCATATCGAACGGCACGGAAGTACGGAGCGCACGCACACGAATCAGAGGAGAGAATACGGATTTTTCGGCCCAGCTCCGAAAAAACGAAAGAATATATGTATATATATACACATATGTATATGTATATGTGTATATATATATATGATAATAGGGACCAGTGTCCGATCATCGCACGCGCTTCGCTCCCTTCCTTTTCGTTTTCTCCTGTTTTCGTTTTTCTTTTTTTCCTTCTCTCTCTCTCTCTCTTTTTTTCTTTTCTTTTTTTCCTTTTTTTGTATTTGGTGGCCCATCTACGATTTCGTCCCTGATTCTGTCCTTTTTCGGATTCCCTAATAAAACACGTGGGGGTGAAGCCCCTGAATATCAACAGGCTATCGAGCAGCGTCGTCTGCTCAACAGGAGGCATCTTGCCTTCCTTCCTTCCCTTCCCCCCTTCCGTTCTCCTTTGACGTTTTCCTTTTTCCTTTTTTCTTTTTTTCTTTTTTTCTTTTTGTCTTTTCTCTTTTTCACATAACCCGCGCRMTGTCACGCTCCGGTAAGGTTAGCATCAATCGCACGCATGAATAAATAAAGAGCGGGACGGTCGAAAAGGGATTACCGACAAAATAAGTGCACCAGTCACAAGGATCTGCCTGTCTAATCAGTCACTTGGGTACGAAGCTTCTGGATACCAACAGACGAACAGGAATAATCGTCCGATCAGTGACGAATTCGTTTCAGTTTTTTCCGCCCCCCCTTTTTTTTACTATATAAAGAGCAAAAGGAGGCCGGGAATCCCTCCACATCTCAACCCGGGGGTCTGGGGCCCTTACCCAGTTTAGGCTCAGACTGGAAACCGGGTCCAGTGTCCCTTTCYCTTATCAAGCTACTTGTAATACTTAAACTAACMCCCTACTGGTTTAAGTGTCGGCTAAAAGGTCGCTAAAGGTGAGARTCTTCCTACTTGCCCCTAGTGAGGGATCAAAAGCCCCTRCAATCCTACCCTTTGTTTAGCATTAAGAAGCGAAGGGGCCGAAGAATTCATCTCCTAAACCCTAAACCCTACCTATGTGCTCTTGCTAAGCGTCTTTTCCTATGCCTATCGCTTTCCCCTAYGGTCTATTTACGTGACCTATCCCAAGTTTTCCCCTTTATTCCTGTTTAAATAGGCCTTTGCAGCTTTTTCTGCTTATCCCATTAATCCTTATTCTCAAACCAAWGGAAGGCCAGTCTGTTCCCTTCTACTGTTGCTATCCTCCCTTCTGCCAACGTTTGCTGGTGGAAACTTTTGAGTATTTCCCGGGCCCGCTCCGGGTTTTGCTGAGCTTGCCTTCTTGCTCTTTGCCATTSGGCCGTAATGTCYGTCTCCAGCAAGTTGTGCAGAACTTGCTTGGCTTCCCRCCTGTGCATCTGTCCCTTTCCTATCRTCAGCTGGCATCTACGCTTCCATATAGTCCATAGTGCGTATTGTCTCAGTAATTGGAAGCCCCTTCTCTGCCCCWGTTTCCATGTCTTCGGAGGCTCCCTACCYGTGAGAAGCGTCCTTCTGTCTTCCGGGAAGGCCTCGTCCGAGATCTTCGCCCACAGATCCCTGGCTGCCTCCCATAAGTATGCCGCCTCTGGGCATTGCAGCAGACAGTGGAGCAGTGAYTCGTCATCGTCRTCCGTGCAGAGGTGGCATTTTTTGTTGACCTGATCTCTCTGATGGTGGCTTCGGCGCTCGTACAACCAGGCATTAACTGGGAGCGCCACGTGGAAAATCAGCCATCGCATGCTTTTAACCCTGCCTAACCTTATGGTGTTCAGTGTTGACCACGACAGGTGAGCAACCTGTGCCCTAGGCACTTCCAGCCTCCTTTCCCATCTTGTGGCCAGAGAATCTGCCAGTGGGTGGGACCTCCTTCTGAGTCTGTATCCCAGATGGGTTGAGTAATGTAGTATGTTTATTYTCCTGGTGRCCCTCAGCCTTCCACCCCTGAGGTTCCATGCCCATTCTGCTGGGTCTACCTCCAAGTCTTCTAGTGTCGTGGCCGGGGCATAGATTGTGTAGCTGTCTGTCTCCACCACCCTGATCTTCTGCACTGCACTTGTTAAGATTGCTATCAGGGTGGCCGATGCCTTGTCCAGCTGACTCGTCGTAGCCCCAGCCTCTTCTATTGTGTACATATCTGCTAGTAACCATGTCTCCCCCGGGCCCGTCCTACCCCTTATCCTGAAGGCCTCTTCAGCTTAAGCTCCCGTTCCCGCGTAGCCCAGTCCCCCCCCTCCCACTGTGGTCCCCTTTCTAATAGCTTTACCCATTCCGTTGGGATGGAGACGAGGACATCATTCAGGTTTTCTAGCAGCTTGCGAGTGCCCTTCATGTCAAAACGAAGTTCCCGTGCTGTCTTCCACCGMCTCTGCTCTTCGGACCATAAATGTCTGACCTGCCAAACTCCATGTTCTACCCAGGTTCCCCATTTCGAATCCCGTGCTGTAAGATTGCGCGGCTTCCCTTGCCTGTCTTTGATCCAAGGATTGCAGAATAGTGGTTGGCGTAGCACCTCCTCCCTATTGCGTGGTTCCCTCACCCTTGCTGGGAAGATGTCTCTCCAAAGCTTTAGGAGTTGCGCCCAGTAGGACCCTCCCTTCCCTTCTAGTACGTCCAATGTCTCTTCCCCCCCGCACTTTCTCCTCTGTGTCCAGGATTTACTCATTACCCAGAACAGACCAGACATGTTGGCGGGAGTTTTGTATTTGGCCAGACTTCTGATGTGCTCTAAAGCCAGGGGTGCCCATGGCAGCTGAGGATGAGTGATGAGTTTCACCACCCACTTCGTTTGCAGCGCCTTCATCTGTTGCTCTGGTTCTAGTATGCCTAGTCCCCCCTGCTCCYTYTGCTTGGWAACATGCTTCCAGGCGACTTTGGATATGAAGTTCTGCTTGCTAGGGTTTGCTGTCCATAGAAAGGCTGATGATCTTCTTCTTAATTCCTTGACTGACTGCTCCAGTGGCGTCCAAATCGTGCCCACGTACCACATCATGGAGAAGATGGAAGCGTTTAAGATTAGCGCTCTCCCGAAGAGTGAGGTGTAGACCGTTGACCACGCCCCTAATTTAGAGAGTATTTTTGCTAGAATCTCTGGAGCCATTGAGTGGTGCGGGCCCGTTTCTGCTAAGCTGATTCCTAAGTAGCGCAGGGGTTCCTCTGCTGTTACCCAGTGCATTCCTTCCGGTGTGCTGTCCGGCCTCTATCCCTCTCCTTCAGCGTAGTGTAGCCACCATCCAGTTGTCTTTTGCCAGTTTATTTTCATTTCGGATGCTAACTGGAAGGCCAGCAGTGCTCTGGTGAGTGCTTCGAATGAAGAGTTCGATGCCCGGATCAGTACCGTCAGGTCGTCGGCGAAGAGGAGTGTCGTCGGCAAGTGGATCAGTCTTCCCTGCTGGTCTGGTTCYGCCGTCAGACGCTGGATGGAGGGATCCTTTCTAAGGAAGGATGCGACCGCCTCCATTATAAACAGGAAGATGGGCGCTGCTAAGGGGTCTCCCTGTCGGACCGATCTCGACATCCTGTACGACTGTGACAGGTGGCCATTCACTTGCACTTGGCCGTGTGCGTCGTTGTATAGCACTCGTATCCACTTCCTGAAGTTGGGTCCAACCCCCATCCTTTCCATGCACTGCTGGAGAAACCCCCAGTTTACTTGATCATACGCCTTCTCGAAGTCGAAGAATAAAATTGCCGCATTGATTCTCTTATCCTTAATGTAGCGAACTGATTCTGACAACGTCATAACATTGTCCAGTATGAATCGGYCGGGGATGAAGYCGGTCTGATCTAAATGAAAGCAGCCTCTAGTTACCTTCCTAAGTCTGTTGGCCAAGGCCTTCGCTACAATCTTGTGAGTAAGTGTCAGCAAGGTAATAGGCCTGTAGTTCTTGATATCCTTAGGATCCMCCTTTTTATACAGCAAAGTGACGATGSYTGTGGCCGCGTCCTGCCCCAGCCCCTCTGATTGCCAGGCTCTCTCTAGGAATGCCATATATTCACTCCCTAGGATTGGCCAATACTCAAGCCAGAACTCCCTYGTCAGGCCATCCCTTCCTGGAGTCTTGTTGGGCGTCATTGACTTGAGTGCAGCCCAGAGCTCCTCTTGGGTGAGTGGGGCCTCCAACATCTCCGCGTGCACACTAATCACCGTCCGCTCTAGATGGGTTAGGAACTTCGATCTGGCCCCCTGCACCTGCTGTTGGGCATGGTCCTGTTCTCTCGACGTGTATAGGGCGCTGTAGAATTGATAAGCCACCGCAACCATCTCCTCCGCTGTTGACACTTGTCCTTCCAGTGTTTGAAGCTGCTCTACTGTGGAGCTCCGCCCCTTGGACCTGATTTTCTGAAAGAAATACTTCGTCATTCTTTCTCCTTCCTCCCAGTCCCTAACCCTTGCTCTCATTTGTAGCCCCTTGGACCTCCAGCGCTCCCATGCTCTCAATTCCTCTCTGTCTGACCCTGGGTTCTTAGCGAGGTTGGAGTCGGCTATACGTAGTGCTTGCTGGAGCTCCGCTTCCCGGGCCTTCCTTTTGCCTGCTGAGTGTCTAGCCGCTGTCGCCGATGCTCTGCTCATAGAGTTCAAGAGGTCTGGGAGGGATTGTTTGTCCGGGTCGTGGTTGAGGCAACATTGCAGCATGGCTTGCCTCATTTCTGAGGTTTGGAGGATCGAGTTGTTCAACTTGTAGAACCCCTTCCCTCTCTTGACTTGCTTGTTCGTGGATAAATGTAAAAAGATGGGTTTGTGATCTAACCCACTGAAGTAAGGAGGATCACCTATGCCCACTGAGTGAATCATTCCCGTGACTGTTTGAGAGATCAAAAACTATTCTCGATGCGGACACGTGTTGGCTCCTGTTCCTCTTGTAGTATGTAAACTGTCTATCCTCCGGAAAGTATAGCCTATAAGGATCGATCAGGTCAAAAGAGGTCATCATGTTGTGAATTGGGAGTGCTTCCTCTCCTATTGCGTTCTCTCGTCCTCTCTCTCCCCCTGACATCCTATCCCGAGACGGTTCTAATACCGCATTCGAATCGTCTGCTAATGTGACATGCCTAGTGGGGTCTATTAAGGCCTGCAACTCCTCCATTAGCTGTGCTCTTGGTCTGAGTGTGTTGGGCGCATAGATGGAGAAGAGAGAGAACTGCTCTTCCTGAAAAAGAAAGTTCAGCTTAATCCATCTCCTCTCGCCGTCATCTTCCCTTGCCTCCTCTATACTTAACTTCCTCCCTAAGGGGGCCCGCTTGTTTTGAAGAATTGCCACTCCTGCGGAATGAGATCGTGGAGCAGGGGCCCAGAAGTCTGCCGCAACCCATCTCAGTCTTTGAATGATCCTATTTTTGACCTGCTCATGCTCCTCTGAGGTAGTCAAATGAGTTTCTTGTAAGCATACAAAGTCTGGAGGATCCTGGGCAAACCAGCCTGTGTAGTTGACAAAGTTGTTCCACTTGTCCGAGTTGTCCAAGATCTGCGCCAACCCGTTTATGTTCCATGATATCACTCTAATCTCCGGTTCCTTCCTTTGCGGCGATTGAGCAGTTCTTCTGTGCTTCTCAGGTCTCCCTCCCTCGTTGTCCTGCATTGCGGGGTGTCATTGACCTGAGCCCCTGCTTGTCTCCATGGAGTGTTCAAGAGCCTGCGTCCGTCAGATCTATCCTTGTTGCCCCCCGTGCGATCTTCTTCTCTATAAACTCCGGCTTCCACGCAAACGCGTCCACTTTGACCACAATCGCTGCACTTCTGGCTACCCATTCCGCCGCCCCAGATCCCCCCAGCAGCCCGTAGGGGATGGTCTCCACCACCTGCCACGACATCCATATCAAGTCCTCTCACAACTTGGCTGTTTCCTGTAGCCTAAACAAGATTGGTCTGTAATCCGTTGCCTGCAGCGTGTCTGCTGACTCTTGCGTTTCTTCCCTTTCTTGCTTCCAGTCCCCCAACACGTATGTGTGGGTCGGCAAGTCCTCCGATATGGTTCCCTTCAAGGACTGTCTGAAGCAGTTGGCCTCCTCTGCCGTAACCAGGGCCAATGAACGCGGTATTGCTACCTCCCAATCTTTGTGCTCCTCGTTCCACCTGAACGGGAGTATGACCCTACGTTTGGGAGAGTTTCTGGCATATAGCTTCGCTGCTGCTTCTATTTCCTTGTGCGGCGCATAAGCTATCTTGTCCAGATTCGTTGTGTCTTCCCCCAGCTCCCGGTTCTGGTCCTTGAGGACATTGATCTGAGCCTCTAAGATCACTGCTTGTCTGCGCGCGTCCTCCATTAGCTCTTCCTCTCCCGTTTCCTCCTCTGTACTTGCTTGGGATTGACTTTCCTTGTCCGTTTGCTGCGCTTCCTGTTGAGCTTTCCTCTTGCGCTCCGAACGCTTCAATCCATTTGCCTGATAGGTCCTTGGCCATTCAAAAAGTTTGTTGTAGTTCCCGCTTTGCACTTGGATGTCATTCTTGCGGAGCTGTGCCTTCCACCCGTACTGAGTAGCGTAGAACTCGTTCACTTCTTTCTCCTTTTCAGTATGTCGTAGCGGTTTGCGGTGGTGATGCCCTCTGCTGCTGCTGTGGCTTCCTTCAAATTTCTTAGGTGCTTGTGGTGAGCCGCGCACCTCACATTCTACCAAACGCTCCCATTCCAGCGCGTGCACACATTTGACCCATCTTTCCAGCGTTTCTGGCTCTTCCTCCTCCTCCTCCTCTTCGTCATCCCAGCCGTCCTCACTTGAATTCCCATCCAAGCCGTCTGTCCCAACATCCTTCCCCCTCTCTCTCCTCCGTTTAGGCTCCTTGGCCGGACTGGCTGGCCCTGCTTTTGAGGGGTCTTCCTCTTTGCCTGTGTCCTCCATTTCCTGCTCATCTGAAGGGGACTGTCCGTTGTCCGCTTGCTGCGAGACCCCCATTGGCTCATCTGAGGGTGTGAGAGACCCTGTCCCCTCCTGCACCGATTCCATCTCCTGGTCTTGCTTACCCGGTGTCTGTTGAGTCCCACTTGTGGCTGTTGCTCCTTCTGACTGTGCTCGTTTGCTCCCCTGCTCTCCTTGTTCGCCCTGACTTATCTCATTGGACTCCTCTGTCCTGGCCTTCCTTTTGAGTGAAGTGGCCGTGTTGTCTGCCCTAGTTGACCCTACCCCCCCTTCCGTATAGTCCATGCCTTTTGCTTCATTCCCCTGGTCGTGGCTCTGCACCTCCTTTTGCGCTTCTTCCCTTGCTCTTGAATTTTCCAAATATGCCGCTTCCGCCGTCCTGCCCACCTGGTTTAGCTCCTCCATTGTCTTCAGTCTTTGCTTATCGTCCAACAGCGTAGTTTCATCGATCATGGGCTTCGTTAATGAGCCGATGTCCTTATCCTCCATCCTCTTCGCCCCCTTTTGCCTCCACCTGCTGTCATAAGGGGGGTAGATATCGGGTTTCAGTGTCGGCACCCCTTGCAACACCCACACCCACCTGGGAGACTCCAAGTTGTCATCGAAGATCCATCCCCGATACTGTGCTGCATTGATGTACCATACCCCCGGTTTGTTGTCCGACTCCTCCAGCATCGACTGCCGTAACTGTACTTGTTTTGCCCCCGCCCCTGACTGTGGCAGTTTTTTTCTTTTCTTTCTTGTTTTCTATTTTTTTTTTTTCCTTTTTTTCTTGTTTTCTTTTTTTCTTGCCCCCGCACTTTTTCGTATCCCTTCGTTGGTCTCGGGAGTGTCACACATCAGAGCAGTCAGCGTCAGGAACCGAAGAATTGACAAGCCCGGGATACTATTTTA